GTTTAATATTCGAATAAAAAATAATACTTGAATTTGAATAATGCGAATTCGAATCATCATATTCGAATACAAATCACGAATCGAATTTTAAATATTTGATTTTTTTTTACATCCAAGTTTAGGCCAAGGTCTAAATTAAGTACTCGTCATTTGGTTGAGATAAAAATTTCATACTCACTCTCCACTCCCGCCTCTGCGCTCATCCACCCCATGGCACACCCCTCCGTTCCCCATCTCATATTGCCCCCCCCCCCCACCCACCCACCCTCGCCCCACACCACGTCCGTATCCTTCCGAAAAATATTTTCTTCCAACCAAACGCATCCTTATTAAGATTAATAATTAAGTGCAAGTTGCATCACAAGAACGTCCTTATCTTTCTCCAATCCAAACTTGATTTCCAGGAAGCTCTGTTTCATTTCAACTTGTGCTACCATACGGACTATATCTCAGGCAATAAACAAATTCCAGTTCTTGATGCCCGATCTTGTTTTTTTTTCTGGGATAAACAAGGATGGAGATTCCGAGGTTATGTTTATGTATCCTAATAATGGGTTTATGGGAAGTGTTTCCAGCAGGTTGTAGGGGAAGCCGTATTCCGGCGGCGGCTCTGTTCATATTGGGAGATTCTCTTTTTGATGCCGGCAACAACAACTACCTTAAACGCCCAATCGGCCGAGCTAATTTCTGGCCCTACGGGGAAACTTTCTTCAAGCATCCCACCGGAAGATTCACTGACGGTCGTATTATCCCTGATTTTATTGGTAATATATTTTTCTACCCAATTATTATTATTATTACTATTATTATTATTATTATTAAGGAGTATTAATTTATTTTCGGATACAAACTTGAATGTCCTATTTTATTTCTATTCATAGATTTCAATCAAACAATTTAAGTTTTTCTTAAACTTTGTTAAATCGACAATTTATTTTCTGGATGGAAGGAGTATATTTTACGGAAGAATAATTTATGGCATTTCTTGTCCAAAACACATGTGCTATTAGACATTTAATTATTTTAGGAAACATCTCTAACCCGTTGCACCAATCGGCGGAATTAGACATGACCAACTTGTTGTGATTATGTGTTGGGTCATAGTCACAGAATTCGCTCCCAGAGCCGCGACTTCCGTATTGGTACGATTCGTACCCAATCGCAAGTCGCTTGCGATCCGATCGCAACCGGTACGGCGATCCAAATCGCGATAGTACGACGCTCCCAATCGCGATGGTACGGAGATCCCAATCGCGATGGTACGGCGATCCAAATACCTAGGTACGTCGCACCCATCGCCGGCGGTACAGCGTACCAGTGGCGACTTCCTCTTCCCAGCAAAGCAACGTCGACTTCCTCTTCCCAGTTTGCCTCATTCCCTTTTCGACGATTTCAATTCTCTTTCCCAAGTCTTCGTAAATTGAGTATGCTCCACTTCCCAGGCACGTTCCACTTTCCCAATTAAATATTTCTCTTTCCAATTCTCATCATTTAATATTTAATTTAAAATTTAATTCACAATTAAATATTATACTTATTTTTATCTCTTTTTGTTTACTTATGTTTTGACTTTTGGTACGCCGAACCGAATACATGGTACACCGTACCACTTCGTACCGCTTCGTACCAAAATGAACCTACCCCCCTTCGTATCGAATTCGTTACCTCTAGCGAATTTCGTACCCGTACCACGTACCCGTACCGAAACGTACCGCGATTTATGTGACTATGTGTTGGGTTTGCTAACCAAGTCATTACACATTGAATGGAGCTTTGATGCCACCAAACTCCATTAGTATGAGCCATTTTAAGAGATCACCAAAAACATATGATTACTTGTTTGGTCCAAAAACGATAATATCATACTAATGTGGAGTTAATGGAGTTGATGTTATCTGTGATATATGGTACGAAAATGATGATGGTCTTGTACAGCCGAGCATATGAAGCTTCCGTTTGTTCCCCCTTTACTGCAACCTGCTGCTGTGGGGGGAAAAGATTTGACGGTTGGCGTTAATTTTGCATCAGGAGGCACCGGCGCTTTGGTTAATACTTATCAAGGAAGGGTATGTATGTTGATCAATCTTCTTATAGTGATATATATATGTGTGTGTGTGTGTCTATATATATATATATATATATATATATATATATATATATATATATATATATATATATATATATATATATATATATATATATATATATATATATATATATATATATATGGAAAGGATGAGAGTGGCACCGGTGGAGTATAAGTTGTGAGAAGTTAGGTTTGTGTTAGTGGGAGTGAGAAGGGGTAAAAATAAAGTTAGAAAGATTTGGAAGGTGGGATTAATTAGGACTTACATTTCTAGGATTTCACCAAAATATGATTTAGATAGGAATTTTCCATCATCTCCGATTCAGCCAAAGATTTAATAGGGAGTATGATGGAGTAACGTAAATGGATCTTTAAATTGTGTGCATTTCTTTAGTAGTGAAGTACACACTAATAATTAGTCAATGCGACTTTTGACGCTCATCATGGCTCATTTAGAAACAGCCGCTCTTTGTATTAAACATAAGGGTCACGCTGCGTACATCCGACCCCTTACCTTGCAATAGACGGGAGTCTTTAAGGCATTTGGATAATGTTGTTGTTGTTATGGTCTAGATAAGAATGTCTGAAAATCTAAGATTAGAGTAGTTGGTTAGACCTTTAAGCCTTAGTTTTCTAATTTATGCTTGTGTGTTTTTACTTACTTTAGTATGTTGCTTATGCATGTGTGGTTTATGTGTCTTGGGTTTAGTTGCTAGTATCATTATACGTGCTTCTTGCTATTGTGTTCTTACTTACTTTATGTTACTTTGTTTACTATGTTTGTGTTTCTGTGTTTGAGCCAGGGGTCTTTTAGAAATGGTATCTCTACTTTGGGGTAGGAGTAAGATCTACATATACACACCCTCCTTAGACCCTACTGTTTGTGGCATTTTTTGGGTGTGTTCTTGTTTTTTATATATCACCTAGCTAAAAGTGAATAGTATCTTTTATTTTGCTGAAATGAAAGTATACAATATGAGTGAGTGCAGGTTGTAGAGCTTCTAACTCAACTCAAGTACTTCAAAGATGTGAAAAAACATTTGAGAAAGAAGCATGGCAGTTCAAAAACAACAAAATTGTTGTCGAAATCCGTTTACATGTTCAGCATTGGAGGCAATGACTACTTGGTTCCATTTGTTGCCAATGGGAAATCCCAAATGCTACAATTCTACAGTAAAAAGGAGTATGTTTCTATGGTCATCGGCAACCTCACCACCGTACTTAGAGTAATGATTTCTTATTACTCTACAAATTTCATTCTCATGTTGGTCGGTAATTACAATTTACAATTGCTCCATCCGTCCCTAAATAAACTTCAGTATTTAAAGAGTCAAACTACGTACATCCAATTATCTACCCATATATTGTAGTCCAAAAGTCCATAAATGCTCTCACATTCTAAAATTTTAACAATGTTTTAGGTAGCTATATATAATTTTTGTTTTGTTTTGCCACTGCAGGGAATATATTATGAGGGTGGAAGGAAGTTTGTGACGATAACGGTCCCGCCATTAGGCCGTTTGCCCTACACTAGAGGGTACAATAATGGTAATAGGACATCCGAACTAACAGAGCTTGCGAGGCTTCACAACAAGGCACTCCCAAAAGCCCTCGAAAAACTTCAAAATGAGCTGAAAGATTTCAAGTATATAACTTTTGATTTCTACTCTGTACTTGGTGACATAATCAGCCATCCCACAAAATATGGTAATCTTTTGATTTCTACTCTGTACTTCGAGATAGATCCTACATTCCTACGAAAACTTGGGGGGGGGGGGGTACAAACCCTGCTCCCAGCCCCCTGGAATAACCGATTTGCTAGTGGCGCATTGTAGCAAACCGGGCAAGGGGCTAGGGGATAGGTCCGTCGTAGGGCCTCAGAGCCATAATATGACACTTCAATCCATCGTTCCTTTTTTAAAGAGATAAAATGAAAATGCACATTTTAAGGGACGTATTTTTTGTGTATCGGGGTGTTTTTTTGTTAGGGTTGAGGGACGCGACGGAAGGGTGCTGTGGGTCGGGGCTGTACCGGGGAGTGTTGAACTGCGGAGGAGATGGGTACCAGTTATGCAAAGATGTTAGGGGTCATGTGTTCTTTGATGGGGCTCATGCCAATGAAAATGTGTATGAACAATGTGCAGAGTTGATGTGGAGTGGAGATTCAGATGTCATTTGGCCTTACAATCTCAAAACACTGGTGCAAGCTTAGTTTTTTGTGACCTGCGAAATCATCTTTTTGCAACCCAAATACTCGTTTATTTGATCTTCCCACTTGATGATTTGATGCAAATAAAACGTGGAAAAATTGTTTGAAAATATAAGTTTATACACAAAAATGAGTGCCAAATTAAAGTATTGGAGTAATAATAATATTACTCGAATAACATTATTTTTATCATATTATATTTTATACTACATAATCCATCTGTCCCGTTTTAAATCATCTATTTTGTCTTTTGGACATATTTAAGGAAGAGAAAAATTAGAGTTGATTTTTCGAAATTGTCATTACTTTTTAGGAGGGGTGACGATGAATGAGAAGATAAAGTGGAGAAGATTGACTTATTTTAGGAGTAGTTTAAGTATTTTACTCTTAAAAGTTTACGATAACAAATAACAGAAAACTTATTTTGGGATAGAGAAAAAAGGCAAACATGTAATTTAAAATGGGACAGAGGGAGTACATGATTTTGAAAAAAGAAAAGAAATTTTTTTGGGTGGGTCACGTTGGATCATTTTTTGTTAGGTGTTAGTGATTTTTAGTGTAATCGATTATTGAGTAATTGAACTTAATTAGATTTGACAACAATTTAAATTGTACTCCCACTGTCCCAATATATAGTGTCTGTTTCGGTTTACGATGTTTGACTGAAATTATTTTCAAATCATTTTATATGACAAATGGTATAGAGTTAAAAAATAAAAATTACATATTTAAATACTACATCAAAAGATCTACAAAACTAGTAGTGACAATAGTACTTTATTCTATTAAATTGTTAACGAAAATAGAAAAAGAAAGTGAATGAAGTTTGACCCTATGAATAGTGAACATACATTATAAATTGGGACGGAGGGAGTAGTTGTTAACAAGTTCGAAACTCCAAAATCTATATTGGCTCGACAATATTACAAATTCATATTACAAATTCTATAGTTGGGTATGGGGACAGTAGCCCCGTTAGCGTGGTCCATGGGGCGGCTGCCCTTGGTATGATTTAAGGGGCAGAACCCTTGGCTGGAGAAACGTTATTGCTTTATGTTTTTTTATTTTCGTAAATAGAGTCAAAATAAAGAAACATTCAAATGGACGAAATCATACACTCGAATGTTAACGATAGCCACCAACACCTTTTACAAAAGAATGCATGCATTCGAATGTTTAACTTAAAGCATTAAAATTTTAACTGGTGCAAACATTCGATTGTTATTATTTCCTCCGTTTATCAAAAGTCTTTCCTTTTCATTTGTTTCTTTTTAACCAAAACAATTTCACTTTTTATTAAATTTTACTTTTACTCTTACTAACTTTTGTCCTACAAATCTGTTGACTTGTTCATCCCACATCGGCTATGCAGCCTTATATTGTGCTGCTATTTAATAGCTTGGGTACCTCAACCTCTTGAGTTAACTTTTGGGGTTGAATTGGGCCCAAGTCTATTGTTTCAACATGGTATCGGAGCTAGGCCATTGATGTTGGGACCACGCCCGCAGTAATCTGCGCCTCGTGTGAGGGGGGCGTGTTGACTTGTTCATCCCACATCGGCTATGCAGCCTTATATTGTGCTGCTATTTAATAGCTTGGGTACCTCAACCTCTTGAGTTAACTTTTGGGGTTGAATTGGGCCCAAGTTTCAACAATATCAAATCATATTTTTTCACTAATAATCTACGCATCACACATCATTTTTACCCATCACATTAAGGACAAAATTAGAAAGTTAACTCCAAATAACTCTTCCTTATTTTCGCCCAAAGCCAATATACGAATTGTTTTCGTAAGCAGGGAAGTATAACCTAAGGAAAAGACTAAACTAGGAGTAAAACATAGAAAATATAGCAAAATAGAAAGTTCATGTTTTATTTAAAAAATATGAGTTAAAATGCATATATAATGTAAATCATTTTAATACATAATACCAAAAAAATTTGTTAAATGTCCATATGTTGTATCACATTATCACAATATAAACTTTTATTTTGGAATAAAACATGGAGCTCGTATTTTCCTATTTTTTCTATGTTTTACTCCTATTTAGAATGATTTCTTATAACTTACACATTCGATTGCTCAATAAGTCATGTTCTTTGCAACAGACACAAAAATTTGATACTCGTTCAAATAAATATTTATGTCTTATTTAATTCAAATATTTTAAAATATGATAAAATTTAGGGGACGAGGTAGGAATCTCTGAATTTGGTAATAAGACATATGGTAACAAATCCCACAAACTTGCTATTTGTGAATTTCAATAAAAAATAAAGTAGTTTGGAATAATTTTAAAATAAGAATTTAAAACCATAAATGATAAGTTTGTAAACTTGGTGATCATTTTTTTTGTAAATCTAGCATTGCTCAAAATGTTCACATGCTACTGATAGCAATTACTATTTTCTCTATTCTAAAATGTTCTTTCAGTTACTATTGTCACGGTCAAACTGGAATCACTTTCTTTACCTATTTTCGTTTGTTATTTGATAAAATAATATATTCTTGTCACCTCTTGTTTTGTAGAATTTTTGATGTAATCTTTAAATATATAAATTTTACTTTTAAATTTTACATCTACAATTAAAAAAATTGTATTGAAAATATAATTAACCAAACCTCGTAAATAAAAAACGGGAAAAACATTTTAAGAGGGAAGGAGTACTGCAAGGGGTGCGCCCATGCTTCGCACAAATGAATATCATCTTTGCGAAGCATGAGTGCAGTAGCAACCATTAGGGAACACCTATTTTTTATGGAGTGTTGCCTCATCTCTCCACAACAACCATGTTACACTTACATCAAAAAGTGTACTCTAAAGTTACATTACATGTATACACTAATATTTTAATGGTAAACATTGACAAAAAGTGTTGGTGCGTTAAAAAAACTTGAATTAATATTTTTTTCTGTGTAAACTATGTACCTAGCTGATTGGTATATCCTTATTACCGACCCGAATAACCGAAAGGGACATGTCAAAATATGACCGATCACTTTCTTCAATCATCAAATGAGGTAAACTATTCGATTGGGACGGGTCAAAAATTGACCGATCACTTTACTAAAAAAGTGACCGGTCACATTTTGGGCGATAGCCAAAATGTCACTTAATATTACGAAAGATATTCCGGAAGACCAAAGAGACGGGGTGAACTTAAGAAATGATCAGGCAACCTTTGTGAAAATGTGACCGGTCATATCATCTTACTTGGTTAACGTTGGTCTAGTCTCTCAGGCATGGCGAACCACGTCAAAGATCGAGGGACCACCCCGCCGCTCATCCATCACGAGGCATACAGTGAAAGAGATGTTTGTCATTTTGCAGAGTTGATTGGATTCAGAATATTCATCTTTAGTCATTGATTGAACAGTGCTTCTTGGTTGTATTAATAACAAGTCTATTATTGAACAGTGATTGGATTATGTACAGTGACCTTCATCCGGGTTTCCTATTTTGTCCATGGGTGAACATGGGAAGGTCATAAATCATCCTCTATAAATATGATGATATTGGATAGAAGAGGGGGAGGGGATCCATTCTTTATCTCACTAAAAGAGTACACTCTTGAGACAGAGTAAGAAATATAATTCGGACTGAGGAGATTTACCCGGTCTAGGTCATACTTTGTGTTCTTGTTGTGTGTTTTATATTACGGGTCAATTCTGTCCAGATCAAACCCGGTTAACCCACCCAGCTATATTTACACCATCACTAGCATTACACTAATACAAAATAAAGGTTAACACAGACAAACACAGACGATAATTGGAATACAAATGTTGAGGTGCAAATAATTTAAGGAAAATGCTAGGGTGCTACCATGGGTGCACCCATGCTTCGCACAGACAAACACAGACGATAATTGTCTGTATCACACAAAAAATTATCGTCTGCGTTTGTCTGTGCGAAGCATAGGTGCACCCATAGTAGCACGGTGGTACCCATGATCCATAACTTAATCGGTCTCCACAATTTCAACACTGTGTATATATTTGCGAGCCCCAATGCTGGGTGAATGGTGATGAGTTTCACGTGGGGCATGATTGGGAAATAGTAGTGGTGGTGGACCGGATTGAATTCAATACGCCACATTGGGCCATGGAGTCGGCGAAGAAGAAAGAATAATTCAGAGATTGCACATGCCAATCTGTACCATTTCGTATAATGAGTTCTTTCTTCATGGGCCCTCTCTCATTCATGGGCTTCCACTTTTTGGAATGTACTCCAAAATTTGTATATCATTTGTACACTAAAGATATGCACTAATATTGTGATGATTTACACAGACACAAAGTGTTGATGCGTTAACAAAAATTTACATTCACACAAAGTGTTGGTACGTTAACAAAAATTAGCATTACACCAACACAAAATATTAGTGCATCATTGCGGTGTACAAAATGGAGTACAAATTCTTGGCATATAAATTGAAGGAGTAACATTTTCCTTCAATTTTTCATATATGAAAAAGCTAGTCGCGCACCATGTTTGACCAAATTTTAAAAATAAGTTAGTCGCGCACCATGTTTGCCTCGACTTTAGAAATGTGGCAAACGAATAGGGACGGAGGGAATATATATCAAAATTTTATACTCCATGATATTTATTTAAATATAAATATAGTTATTAATGACAAAAATATTAGAAATTATATATATTCAAATATAAAAATACTACTATAGCATCTAACTATGTATCAAATTTTATTTTTTGGCATCAAAATTAATGAACTTTGACCATTAATTACCTGATATTAAATATTGATACAAAACTAATTTCTTTAGATTTGTGTTATTAAATATTTTCAAAACATTGTCTTATGTAAATAATATATCGAATAAATTTTGTTTAATTATAGGTCAAAGATTAAAAATACTTCATCCGTCCAAAATTGAAAGATCTTCCCACTCTACATTTTTTTATCGAGAAATAAACTTCATATTCTACTTTTTTCATCCCCAGTCTTTGAGATCAAAATACTCATCTCATTAAATCTCATTCATTACTTCTGTAAACTACACCCTCATTTAGGGGGTGTTTGTTTTTTGGCCAGAAGAGCTTCTGGCCTCTTTTGTCTGTGCCGCGCAGACGCGCGCAGATGTTGAGCTCTGCAGATTGTTTGTTTTTTGGAAGACATTTCACTAAAAAATGTCTTCCTGGCATCTTCCTGGAGAAAATATTGACCTATGTCTTCTAACATCTTCTCCATTTTTTTCTTCTACTTCTCTTCACCACCACCACCGTCCACCACCACCGCCGTCAACGTCCACCACCTCCCTTCACCACCACCCTCCACCACCACCACAATCGTCCATACACCACCACCGTACACTACCATCATTAATTTATATAGCAGTCTACAGACATTAAAAAACAAACAGTCTTCTTCTTCCAGACCGCAGACCTTCGGTCTACCACTTCTCCTGCAGATGTCTACAGTAGTGGTCCGCAGACTGCAGACCTTTTCCTGCAGAAAAAACAAACACCCCATAACTATCTCTCCCTCTCGCCAACCTTACCCAACCTCATTCACTTTTTATTTCTATCTTATCTGTTTAGATTTGTGATCTCAACTCCTCGATTCCTTCCCAAACACTACATTACTCTCTTTCCTCTCTAAGATCTGCAATGGAATCGCATGACTTTCATTTCGAATCTTGTATTCCGAAGACAGGTTTTCAAGATGGTGGAGGTGAGGAAAACAATTCCAACTCTGACGATAAGAAGGTGGACGAGGTCACCGTCATCAAGAGCGATGATGATGATGCTGATGTTGCCTCGTTGAGAGAGAGGAAGGACATTATCGACCTTGAATCTGAGAAAGGAAACATTTTTCTTATTGAGAGTGAGGAGGCTGACTTCATTGTTCTAGACCGTGAAATTGATGAGCTTGAGGTGCGTGAAAAAGTGGGGTTGAGCCTTCTCAGGCGATATGTGTGTGTGTGTGTGTATATATATTATTCGCTTTTTTCGAAATAAGACATTAATTTAATAACATATAGAGTATCATAATTACTTAAATACAGAGTAATAATAATAGTAATAACAATAACAATAATAACAATATTTGCCAAAGATTGTTATTAAATTAATGTCTTATTTGGATACCACCCCCAATGCAAATCTATAAAGATCATCAATGTTGTCTTTGCAGATGACTTAATTGTAGCCTCTAAGGCTGATGAGAATTCCATCAAATGTATTCTGTCAGCCCTAAAACACTTCTCCTCTACTACTGGACTTTCTGTCAATCACTCTAAGTCTGAAATTATATTTGGGGGGATCACCAAACACCAGGAGAATCAATTACTGCAGATAACCAACATGAGAAAGGGTTCATTGCCATTCAGATACTTAGGAAGTCCCGTCACTTCTTCCATAATCAATGCCAAAGATTGTGAGAGGCTCGTAGAGAAAATGACTGCTAAACTCACCACGTGGTCTACAAAAAATCTGTCATATGCCGGGAAGGTGAAGCTAATTAATTCTGTATTATTTGGCATTATTGGTTTCTGGAGCAGAATTTTTCTCATACATAGTATGGTAATGAAGAGAATCCAAAGTTTATGTAGGAATTTCCTATGGGGGTCTACCCATGAACACGTACAGGAGAATTCCCTTGGTGGCCTGGGATGATATATGCCTACCTAAGAAGAATGAGGGACTTGGACTTAAAAATCTGACTCTGGAATAAAGCTAATATCATGAAATTTGTTTGGGACATTGCGATAGAAAAGGAGGTTCTTTGGATCAAATGGATCCACAACAGATATCTGAAGAACAATAATGTTTGGGACTGTCCAAAGAGGAATGATGACTGTTTTTACTGGAAAAAGATATTGCAAATCAGAGACTGCTTTGTGGAAATGGAAGACACTATCCCTTACAATCCTGAGGTTGGCTATCAATGGCTCTTGGGGCAAAAACAAATACATAACTGGTCAGAATTGGTCTGGAATAGTTATTCCATCCCAAAACATAAGTTTGTGTTCTAGTTAACTTGCAGAGACAGAATATTGACCAAATACAGACTGAAATTCTTATTCCCAGTAGACACTTCCTGCCTAATCTGCCAAAATGCTGAAGAAGATAGACATCACATATTCTCTACTTGCCCTTATACTAGGGAGGTATACAAGAGGATTTATGATTGGACCCAATTTCTTTTTGAAGGGTACACAATAGAAGCAATTTGTACACAGCTCTTGAGCATTGCTGCTGTGAAGAGAAGGAGGAAAATTGCAGCAGTTTTTGCAGCCAGTATATACTTCATCTGGAAGGCCAGGAATAAGATTTTCCACTCTAATGCCTTAACTCCTGTTGAGGAAACTTTCAGCTGGATCAAATTCCATGTTAGGACCTATTTGAATTCTAGATTAAATGAGTTTGTGTAATAGTAATTTGTAGAGAATATATGTTACTGGAGGTAGAGGGCAGGATTATGGTGGGTTGATACTTGGTTGTATGTAGATATTTGGAGAATTATTAATATATTTGCTTTCTGTTAAAAAAAACAATATTTGCAATTTTTTTCAAATTCTCAAAATTTGTCTAATTTAATCTAAAAAGCTCTAATATGATCGGTTCTGATCAAATTGGATCTGGTCTGATCAGATTGAATTCGACCTGATTAGATATATGATCTGGTCCAATCTGATTTTAATAACAATATGTAATAAGCTAAAAAAAGTTGAATCAACGGACCGTAAACATTTTCAAGATCTTTTTTTGTTTTCTAGAATATTTTTTTAAAACTTTATTTGGGAAATTAAGAAAAGAAATTTTGGAATGAAAAATAAAAATATGGAAAATGGAAAGAAAAAAAATAGAAACATACAAAAATACTCTTATACAAAAAGGAATTTTCAAAACATTTAAAAGCATTCCTAGAATTGGGTTATCCAAAAAGAGATTCGTTTTTAATTTTTTTATTCTATTTTATTTCCTTTTTTCATTTTTTTTCCCAAAAAATGTTTTATTTCTAAGTACCAAAAAAATTAATTTGATACATATAGATGCAATTTACGTTAATTATTTTTCATTTTATTTATTTTTATTTTAAGCACAAAAATTTTTAAATTTTAAGAATATAACTGGAAACAATTTTAAAAAGTACTTTAAAACACATATAAAAAAGAAGAAAATAGAGAAAAACAAAAATATATGAAAAATGATAAATGAACTCAGATGTCCCTGGGAATTCGAAAACGAGGTACCAATGCTTCCTTCTCCATTGAAAAAATGGTCGAAAAGTAATTAGAGGGGCGTCCAATGTCTACAAACTACATAAATTTTAAAAATAAAATCTAAAAAATAAAGAAAGTACTGGCAACTCAATATCATATCAGAGCATGTGCAGTGACAAGAAAGAGGAATGCCTTGCACAGCCACATCAGCTCCTTCCACTCATATCATGGAATGGCAAGACGAAAATGACTTGTTTGGTGAGACATGAGGGTAGCACTCTGGCCTTCTTTTTTTTAATTCTTTTATATAAAAAATGTATAAGTATCCCTTCTTGGCCCTCAATCCCTTCCTAGCAACTCAAGATCATATCACTTTTTTCTTTTCTATCCCTTCCATCCCTATCTTTGCCTTTTTTAAATCTTCTTTTTTATTGCATCTATTTTAATTAAAACTACCTACACTAAGAATATAAAATAATATTTCATTAATATTAAATTTAAAAGTACATATAAAAAATTACTCCGAAATAAAAAACTATTCATCCTCAAGATTAAATTTACAATTATATACTTCGAAATAAAAAAAATTCAAAGTACACAATTAAATTAACATTTCATTGTTGATTAATGTTTTCTTAATTTTTTAAAAATCTAATTAACAAAAAAGACTTAAATAAAAAACAGAAAAACTTAAAAATGTAAAAAAAATATAAAACTAAAAAAAACTAAAAAAAAAGGATAGAGAGAAAGGGGCACACGATAGAGAAATCAGCACACGATAGCTGTGGTGGGAGTCATGGGGATCAGGCCATCACGGTCACAGAGAACGGGGCAGGGTCCGGGATGGCCGATCCCGACTCCCAGCTCCTTCAACCTAACATTTTTGGGCAACAAAACACGTTAGTGTGAACATATGGTTAGGATGTGAAAGGGAGTGTTTGGATACTATTCCGTATATAGGTAGTCAGGTAGAAATTCCCAGGTAAGGAATTGAAGACATTGGTGGTATCAGGAAAGATTGCTATGTTGCACAATGCAATTTTTTGTTGAGTGCTACTAACAATGTGGTACCGCTGGTACCTTTCAATGAAAAATAATTATTACCTCTGTTCTAAAAAATAATTCTATCTTTCATTTTTTCCATTTATAACAAAACACTTTCATTCTCTATTAAAAAACTATTTTACCCTTACTTTTTCATACCCTGCCAATTACATCATCGTTTTGTCTGGGAACAACGTTTTCGATTAGCGTTGACGTTTTGGATAAAATATTAGTGGTATAGATTAATTCTGAAAATGCTAAAGCTAAAGGCTACTGTCGGATAGCCTTTTCAAAACGCTAACGTTAATCTCTAATTTTGATGCCAAACGGGGTCTATATTTTTTCTCTAATAATCTATCCATCACATTTTACTTTGACCCATCACATCAAGAGCGAAATTAGAAGTCAACTGCAATTTAACACTTCCTTATTTTTAGACTTGGTCAAACAAGAAACTCCTTTTGAGAACGGAGGGAGTAGTATCTCTTTCCAGAAACATGATAAAATGGTCAGTTAGGTCGAGTTTCAATTCGATATTATCGAGTTTGGGTTATTTTAGATTCGGGTCACTTCGAGTTTGATATTATCGAGTTTGGATTATTTCAGATTCGTGTCACTTCGAGTTCAGGCTAAGAGTGTTGTTCATATATATGATCGAGAGTTATCGGGTTTGGGTTGACCCAACAGGTTGAAAGACGTATTTAAAAATTGAAACTTTTGCTATTTAGAGATCAAGTGATTAACGAAAAGTCAGATTCTTGTTTACATTTTGACATGGTACCGTCATTACTTTTTTCGCAGCATGTAATCGAAGCATGTACTGTCATTACATAATTGCAGCATATAAAAAATTCAGTATATAAAAAAAATTAGATTCTTGCAGCATACAAAAAAAATTGCACTATATCAAAAAATTTATAATATACAAAAGTAATTAGAAGAAAAGAACAAAAACTTGAGTTACGTGCATACTCAACTGAAAAAGATGAGATATGATTAGAAATTTCACTATTGTTCTGTGTCTTCTTACCAAGTTGATTGAGTCGGCACCTAATATCGGCGGAAGAGGGAAAGAACAAAAGAGAGGCAAATTGCAAAGGAGGGATGCCAAGAACCCGAAAGCAGGCCCACCCATGAGGGTGTTCATGAGGTGCAGTTGTACAGGGCCTCCAATTATAAAGGGCCCATTTTTTATTTTTCTCCTATTATACTCCATTCGTCTTAATTTAAATTACATATTGATTATTTACATGATTAAATTTCGTTTTTTTATTTTTTATATTTATTATTAATTTAGTAAAATAATATAGTCATATCACATTTTGATTCATAGAAATTTTTAGAGCCTAAAAATATAAAAATGCAAAGGGCCTTCAATATTGATTGGGCGGGCCTGCCCGAAAGCTTCTCTCTCCGTTCCATCTCTTATTTGTTTTTCGATCAATTTTCCGATGAATAACTCTTTCATTCATTCCAGTTTGTCGGTGCACGATTCTACTATTCTAGACCTTGCACGTTAGCTATTTTATCCTGGGAGGAGATTGCTCCGGCGACTCCGCTTTCCTTTCTTTCCATTCGGCTTCTGGCGACCTTCTACCTTTTATTTTTTTATTTTATTTGTTTATATTTCTATTGTAAATTCCGAACGTATTATAAATTCGGGTTATTCTCTTCTTATTTTGTAAACTCCTACTCATTTTCAACACAAAATACTATATTGGATATCGTAAAATTCTACGGAGTAAATGAGAAGAATCAAAGAGGATGAAAGAACTCATAAAAAGGCAATTTCAATTAAAAGCACTTAGGGTCCATTTGATATACGGAATTGACGGAATTGGAATTGAATTGGTTTTGAAATTCCATGAGATTGAATTCCATAGAATTGAATTTTGTCAATTCCAATTCATTTTTTGCACTATCAATTCCAAATTCACATAATTTTTGTGCTACCAAACACCAAAATTGGAATTGAAGGCCTCAATTCCAATTCCATAATTTGAATTCCATGTACCAAACGGAGCCTTAAAATAATTTAGAGACTTGAGAAGTACTTTCGAAGAAATATAAAAACCTTGTAAGCTTTTTACTTTCTTTGAATTGATAAAAAAAGATAGAAGAACAATTTTTTTTTGGGACGAGTATTTTTTAATTTGACAGAAAACCACCCATTTGATAGTGGGCATGTGGGACTATTATATGTCCCCATGCAACTGTGCAATTTCCAAACAATACAAATACTACCATTCAAGAACCAGCTAGCTAGCTAGAGCTGTATATATTCATAAATATATATACACACACAAAAGGTTCAGTCATTAATTCATTATAAACTGTTTCTAGCATACGGAGTACTAAATATATATATATATACTGCATTTTTATATACTCGTAGTATTTTTTTTTCCCGACCATTTCTCTGGTTATTAATTGTTGCAGATGGCTGCTGAAAATGAGTTCAAGCATTTGGTTCTTGTCAAGTTTAAGGAAGATGCTGTGGTGGAAGACATTCTCAAAGGAATGGAAAAGCTTGTTTCTGAAATGAACACTGTCAAGTCCTTTGTCTGGTAATTATTAATGAATGCATATATATGTATCTTTTTTTTTTGATTAATCACTCCATGATAATCTATCACTCATGAATAAACTGGCTAGCTAGCTTGTGGCATGGATAACTAACTTGTGCTTCTTGCTTCTTTCAAAAATTCAAATCCATCCACACAAATCTAACAAGATATTCACCAACTTTATCTATTATTCATTTGTTCATAAAAAATTATATTAAAAACATTTTTTTCATTTTATATATAGAGCTTTTGATATATATTTTTCCATCTCTGAGTATTTGTTCACTTTTGATTTTTTAGTCAAAATTGATAAACTATAAACATAAATTAAATATATAAATGTAATATTAGATATTGATATAAAAATATTTGTTAGGGGGAGTGAGTACAAAGCAACATAATCCATCTTCTATGTACTAGAAAAATGTTTCACATTTTTTTGAAAATACTAGAGTCACAAATAAAACAATCACAAATTAAAATGCCTAAATTGTTAGAACATAAAAACCTTTTCTGGGTTAGAACCACAAGTTTGAGCTTTTAGTTAAATTCGTTTCTTGACATGGTATCAGAGTCTTGTTGACTAAAAGGTCACATGTTTTTTAACTCAGTGCCACCCAGTTTTAAAAAAATGAGATTTCACGTGTAAGTAGACCTGTGCAAACAAGGATTGGCCCGATCGGGCCGCCCAGCCCGCCCTTTAAAAGGGCGGATATGGACAACCTTAAATACCCAAATGGGCGGGCCGGCCCAAGCCCGAATTGTATATGGGCGGATCTGGATGTTATTTTTAGCCCATCTGGGCCAACATGCCCGCCCATATTCATCAAATATATTTACTTTATTATTAATTACCTAGCCAATATAAATTTTAAAAATTTTTACTCCATCCGTTCTACAAAACCTTTCCTCTTTCGTTTTTTTGAATTTCCTAAAACACCTCCACTTTCTATTAAAAAACCACTTTTACATCATACTTTTTTCAGATCATACTTTTTTCACTAATAACCAAACTATCACATCTTACTTTTACCCATCACATAATGGGCAAAATTGAAAAGTCAACCAAAATTACACTTTCCTTATTTTTGCCAAAAGTCAAAAGTGGAAGAGTTTAAAGGAACGGAGGGAGTATAATTCATGTATAATAGTTTAATTCACTCACCTCTTTTAAACAAAAATCGATACTCTTTTAATGAATCAGTATGATAAGCTTATTAATTATGCAACAATATCTCTATTATGCTTTCTATATAAATGTGGTGACTGGTTATTTTATTTTAAATATTTAAAAAAAGTTCAATGTTTTTTTTAATATTTTGTACAAAAAAATATTTCTTGATGTTTTATCCGGGCCGGGCGGCCCGGTGGGCAGTCCGGCCAACAAAGATGGGCGGGTATGGGTAAAGAATTAAGCCCATCAAATGGCCCGGCCCGCCCATGTAAATGGACTAATAATTTATATCAAGCCCGGCCCAGATCCGGGCCGGATCCTTATTTGCACAGGTTACGTGTAAGGCTCGAAATGATTACGCCTACACGTGAGGGACTGTGTTAGAACATAAAAAACTTATCTTGAACTACAACCACAGGCTTGAACTTTTAGTTGAATTAGTTCTTTGACATAAGTTTACTATAAGCGGATATCGCTACAAGATCAAAATGGTCCCAAATAATTTAAAATTGATAATTTACACACATAAGAAGTAAATTTATACTCCCTCCATCCCTAAATAAACTTCCCCTTTCGTTTTTTCTTTGTCCCCAAATAAGCTTCTCTTTTCCCTTGAAAAATCCCTTATACCCCTTACTTTTTCATACTTTACCTATCACATCATACCTTTTTTTTAATAATCTACATATCACATCTTACTTTTATACATCATATCAAGGGTATTTTTGAAAAGTTAACACAAAAATCTCTCCCTTAAATCCTCAAAATATCTAAAAAGAAAGTTTATTTAGGGACGGAGGGAGTATATTTTGTGACTGTTTAGTTTGTAACTCCCCACACATTTTTTATAGGTGGATCTCATACTAAAATTTGATTATGTTCATGTCAAATACTCCCTCCGTCCCAAAAAGATTTACACGTTTTAAAAAAATTGTATCCCACAATCCCTTACCCATTTCTATTAAAAAACCACTTTTACCCCTTACTTTTTCAAACCCTACCTATCACATCATACCTTTTTTCTAATAATCTACACATCACATCCTACTTTTACCCATCACATCAAGGGTATTTTTGGAAAGTCAACACAAAATTATCCCTCTCTTAGTTTCAACTTTAGTCAAAATGGGTAACACTTTATGGGACGGAGGGAGTATAAAGTAAGCACTTATATTGTTGTGGGACGTGGCTTAGTTAGTCAATAGGAGGTTGTAAAAAAGGTAATGTCCAGACTTGATTTTACGTAGCAGTATAATTAATGAAGTGCAACCATGTACAATGATGTCTTTGCATGTATTAATCAATAAATAAAGGCATCCCAAATGCAACGAGTCTTAGCTTAAAACTCTTTCCGACTATGGCACGTTAGTATATTACTGTTTTAGACTCATCTCTACACTTTCAGAAAACTATTCCAATCTTCAGACTTTGTCATATCATCGACCATTCTACAATCTTTTATTTTATTAGCTTTTATCTCTATTTAATCAAATATCTAACATATAAATTTATGATACAGTGACTTTTCTATTAAGATTATTTATAAATATAAATAACCCCATTAAAAAATCAAGAACATAAGATATTATTTATACAAATTAGAGAAAATTATACAATTTCACACACATAATAATAAACATAAAATAAAACAAATATATTTCATTAAAATTACTTAAAGTAAACAAAGATAAATTGAGTTCCCAAAACAAAAGAATTCTTTGCATAAAATAAGAATTACCTAAAATAGAAATAAAAGCATAAAAGAATACAAATATATAAGTAGACATAATTGACAATTGGAGTTTTTTTATATTGTGGATGTTTGTTTTATTACAAAATAACTGTAACTAATTTTTATTTTCTAAAAATAAGTGTTACTGATTACATGTGTTAGGATTTTTATAAGAGGATTTTACTTAAATAACACTTAAACATAATGTTTTTTCCTAAATAGCATCACATGTGTTTTTCTTCCTAATGTAGCACTTTTAGTCATTATGCATTAGTCATTATTCAAGCAAATATTTGCCATCACTGGACATTATGGACAATATTAAGTGCTATTTAGGGAATAAAACAGTTTAAGTGCTATTTAGGAAAATGAGTTAAGTTTCAGTGTTATTTAGTGTAAAAATTTCTTTTTATAAAATAAGATGAGTTGTGAGTCTTGAAAATAAGCCTAATTTTCAAAGACTTCAGATTTTGTTCCATTTTTATGTCAAGGTGGATAGTATTTTGAAAGGGCCAAGCTAAGGGTACTCCACAATGGAGTATCCCATTTGTACATCTGAAAAAGACACTAAGTGTTTATCGTCACAGATATAAGTATCTGTATTTGCGTATATCACAAATAAGGTACTTCATCTTAGTGTTCTCTTAGATTTATTCATTTTGAAATGATTGATTAACCTATTTTTGGCGTGAATAAATAGGAACGTGATGCGTTCATGACAAGGAACACTCATTTGGTGGTGGTACTTTTAGGAGTTCGAGGACTTGTTATTAGTCCCTTTTTGGGCAAATAATTCAATTCCCACGTTGCATGTTGGTCACTTTAGTGGTGATCGGGTGGTCCATATCATTCATGACTTTATACAATACACTAAAATTTGTTATTTTATCTGCCATCAAAATCCAATTTATCAATTTTTAATGATCTTATATTCACTTTCATTTTGGCTAAATACACCTAATTCATTTTTGAAGAATCAATAATTTCACTTTTAAAAGTTGGTTTGCATTTATACTCCATCTGTTGTATTTTTAAAAGTAAAATTGTCAATATATCACAAATGGGGTGGATTGAGACAAAATGAGAGTGAATTTAGCAATATAATAATAACAACAACGACAACAACAACAATAATTGATGGTGTAAATTACCGAACTGGGTAAACAGTGCTAGACCGAGTCTAGGATTGTTTACGGGATTCAAGGCAATAAAAGGTAACAAACACACAAATTAACCGGGGAGACTGTAAGTGGAAACACTTGTAGCCCAATTGTTATTTGAATATAGCAAAGCGCACGGGAGCTTTTTACACAAGTTTTAGGGAGAAGAAATCGGCCCCATTCTATTGAGGGTTACAAGACTATTTATAGTAAAGCTTTGGGGACAAGACAAAGAATGCCCACCGTCTTCCTAGTTTCTGGACGGTGCGAGGTGACTTCTCTTGTCACGTAGCATTTGTCCCACTCATTTGTCGGCTCGTCCAATATGGCACCTGTCTTGGCGCATAGTGCTTGAAACCCACCCGGGTAAGGTACAGATCCACCCAAACAACCCTTCTGCATGGTACCTGGACTTTTCCCGCGTGGTTTTGGATGAGCCCGCGCGACCCGGGTCATGGCATGGGTGGATTACACCCATCAAATACCAATATTGGTTTAATTTAAGTTTTGATATATTACTCAATAAACTAATAGCCATAGATATAGGTCATTGAAATTTGAATGGTACGTATGAAAATTTCCAAGTTTAAAATAGTGTAAGAGTAATTGTTGTTTGACAGGGGAAAAGACACAGAGAGCCATGAAATGCTAAGGCAGGGGTTTACGCATGCTTTCTTGATGACGTTCGACACCAAAGAGGATCACATTGCCTTCTCCACCCATCCCAAACACCTCGAATTTTCCGCCTCCTTCTCCGCTGCCATTGATAAGGCCGTGCTTCTTGACTTCCCGGCGGTTCTCGTTAAGCCTCCGCCGCCTGCTGCCGCTGTTACTCCTCCTCCCGCGGCGGCGGATAATTAATCAATCCTCCCCGGCCGGCGGTTGCACTTTACGACCCATCGTCTCTATCTATCTATCTGAGTCTATGTATCATCGATCATCATGAACTCCCTAGCTTTCATTTCCTTTAATTTTATGCATCATTATATTATTATTATTATTATATATATATATATATATATATATATATATATATATATATATATATATATTTCTAATATATATCATCATGCAATTAAGTAACCTAGCTACGTTCTCATCAAATATGCTGCCGATTAAGTATAAAAGCATATATTGTAAGCTAGTATGGTCGTGAATAAAGTAACTCTGTTGCTATATATGACCTTTGGTTATGGTTGTCTCATAAAATTATAGACATTTTTTTTCATATTCTTTTAGTGTTATATATACCCCTTTCCTTCTTGAAAACGTCTCTCTCTTTTGTTTTAACTCGGCCTAATTTTTTTTTTCATTTTTATTAAAAAATCATTCTTACACATACTAATTTTTAACATACATATCACATTATTCACATCATATCTATTTATTATTTATCTACTCATCAAATTCTACTTTTATCTGTTATTACGACATTTTTGGAAACTCAATACCAAAATACACCCCTTTAAATTTCTTAAATAACAAAACCTCTCATGTTTTCAATGACAGAGGGATCAAAGTATATTAACTCGAATGCAATATACCAGTAGTATTTGTTCATATTATTCTCAACTTAATAAAGTACAATGAGTCAATACCTCTGTACATAAACTACAAGAATGTATACTTAAATGGGACGGAAAAAAGAGACGGATTTCTGTCTCTAAAATTGTTTCTCTAAATATAGAGACGGATTTCCGTCTCTAAATATATGATTAGACAATGAGACAAATATAGGGACAGATATTATCTCATCCCCTAATTCTTTGCCCCTCTCACCATACATTTAATAATATATACTTTTCTTTTTTTGAACAAAATATATAGGGAGTGTGTGTGTATACTTTTCTTTCTTCTCCCATAAAAATTTTATACTTTTCTTCCAACATCTCATATTCCTTATCTTATTTCTTTATATACCAAGCTAAAATTTTACAATGAATATGATCATTCTTATATAATTGACAATCTAGCGAGATATATTACAATCAATTCTTTTTTAGGTATATATGAAATTCTATTCACTATTTAATTTTGAATTATTGTGTACCTACTACTTACCTATTAATTAAAGTGTTGAAATTACAATTCAAATTTAATTTTTTTTATATTTTTAGTTTTATTCGATTTACAAATTGATTGAGATTATTTTTACTGAATTTATCAATACATTTTAAAAAAATTGTGTTTGTGTGTGAGTACATACTCCATGCATGTGAAATATATATTAACCTTGTGAAAATATAATATATAAATATATGAATTGCTCATGTGAAAAATAATATGTAATAATGTTTTGGGGCTTAATGGTACAATCATTTGGATAGTATTAGTGTTTTAAAATATTTAATTTCAATATCATTGTGAATGTGTAACTTTATACACAGAGTATAAAGTATGAATATTATATGAACAATTTTTTTTTTAAATAAATTCAATTTTTTATTGCTAAATAAAATAAAAACCAAGATTGCATACACACACACACACATATAGTTGATTGTGTGGTTATTATTATTATTATTTTAATTATCTATTATACTCATGTAAAATTACATATCATTGATTCATATGACTTAGATAGGATATTGGAAGAAGTCTCTCTACTTTCGAGTAGGGGTAAGATCTTGTTTGATTCACGACTTAGATAATTTATTATATGTATTTAAGGTGAATATCTATGGTGTACGTGTTTATAACTAGTTTAAACTATTGTAGGTTAGTTGATAAATGTCAAAAAGGCGAGAATGGATGGGAAGACGTTTGATGGAAATGGGTGGATTAATCCGGAATTTTTATACGGTGTGGAAGAGTTCATTAAAGTGGCATTTGCAGATAACCAAGATATGGTAAAGTGTCCATGTAAGAAGTGTCGGTTAAGATTTGTTTGGGCTTCAACAAAAATTGACAAGCATTTGCGGAAGAATGGTTTCATGGAGGATTATGAGACTTGGTATTGTCATGGTGAAAGGTTAGGAAGCAAAATTAATTTTTTTCGTGGAGAGATGTCTAACATACAAATGGAGGGACTAGAAAATAAGTCAACAAATCTACCTGAGTCTAATTTCGAGCAAATGGTTTTAGAAAACATGGGACCAATTTACGATTTTGATCATAGTGTCGAACATGGTGAATATAATCAAACACATTATGATGATGAGGATGATTATAATGATGGTAACGAGAATAGTAATGACATTGAAGTTGACGAGAATAAAGACATCTCTACAGAGCAATATTATAAGATGATTGCTGATTCATCAACAACATTATATGAAGGATGCCAAAAATTCACAAGATTGTCGATTGTGGCAAAATTATTAAGTGTCAAAAGTCAATACAACATGTCAGATACATGTCTCAGCAAAGTAATTAGTACTTTCAAAGATGCCTTGCCCAGCGATAACAACTTACCACATAATTTCTATCAGGTGAAACAAATGATGAAAGGACTAGGATTACCGATGGTTAAAATTGATGTGTGTCCAAACAATTGCATGATTTACTACAGAGATACATTTAGTTTGACAGAATGTCCAACTTGTGGTTTATCTCGTTATATTGAATCTACCATGAACAGAGGTGGGAGAAAGAAAGCCATAGAAAAAAAAGTTTATCGTTACCTCCCCATTACCGATCGCCTAAAGCGTATGTACATGTCATCCACAACTAACAACCAAATGACATGGCACTTTAGGAATGAGAGTATAAATAATGGCACAATAGGACATCCGTGCCATGTAGATGCATGGAAGCATTTTGATGAATGTTATCCAAAATTTGCTGCCAATCCTAGAAATGTTAGGCTTGGACTATGTACGGATGGTTTCAATCCAAATTCGAGTACGGGTAGTGCATATTCTTTATGGCCTATATTCATCATTATCTATAATTTGCCTCCAGAGTTAGTTATGAAGGAACCATATATACTGTTAGCAGGATTGGTTCGAGGGCCACGTAGTCCAGGACGAAGCATTGATGTATATTTATGCCCCATAATTGATGAACAATATTGACATTTTTGAGTTGTATGAGTGTATCTATTCTTTTTTTTACATTGCAATTAATTTACTTATGTGTTATATGTTTTTGGAAATGTTATGTAAGGAGAATAAAAGTGAAGTCGAGCGTCTCAAAGAAGAATTGGAGGAGAAAGATGCAACAATGAAAGTGGAAATAGACAAATTACAAAAAGAACTCGACTATACAAAAGGGCTTCAACAGAAAGAAAGAAAACGTCGTCGTGAGGTGGTTCAAGAGCTGGAAGATTTTAAGAAAAGGTTCAATTCTTTGAATGCTTCAATGTCCAATATTCACCGTAGACTAGAAAAAAAGGTCTAATCGAAAAGTGTGAGATAAATCCTATGTCAGTAGCCAATGGATCTAGAAGCCAAAATAAATCTTTCCGCCATTCAAAGACGAGAAACTCAAGAATTTATAGTCAATTTAAATCAGTGTGTGACGATAGCGGTGACTCAAGTGATTCATTAAACTCAAACTCTGGTGAAGAGTCTGATTAGAAGGTGAGGACCTTTGAAATTTAAATGAAATAAAAATATTATTATATTTCTTTTATTTTACTATCAAGTGTGTAATATGCTTGTATCGTATTGATGAAGGAGACGTCCATTTCACTTGTAGGAGCTAAGATACTGAAGGTCAGAATTCATTAATAAATTAAATCAATTGTTGTTCTTCTCTAAATTCTGTTTTTTTTCTTAAAAAATAAGCATCTATCTCCTGTGATTGACGCATAGCTATTAAAAAAGTACTAAGTTCATTTTGGAGTTGAAAATTCACATCTTCATCCTTATGGTTCGTTATTAACTTGTTGGAAAAGCTTGCATTACAATTTGACATATTTAGTTAATAATGCAGAATCACATGGAATATAATACTTTTCATGTTTTTTTAATGGAGTGTTTTGCTTGAGCAGGTATTATATATTGATGGTGTTGCAGCTTGTTTTACTACCTTGGACTAGGCAATAGATTGTGCTAATGAGAGATGCTTGCAATTTGGACTAAGCAAATTATTTTTGTTGGTTTGAACCACTTTGTCAATTCTATTATGCATTCTTGTTGGTTTCTTAATTTTGTTGATGTAAAAACATATTCTCTAATGTTTTTTTATTTCTAGCTAATTGAAAAAATGAATGTGTGTATGGTTGTTATTAATTGGTATGTAAATCCCCCTCTGGTGTCCCACACCCCCACTGCCACCAAAAAAAATAATATTTTATTTTTTTTACATTCAAACTTTGAGAGACAGATTTCCGTCTCAAGACTAAGCTGCCATTTTGCTACCAGCTGTAGATATTGAGACTGAAATTCAGTCTCTTATTTTCGTCTCATTTCCGTCCCTCATGCTAGGAAGACGAAAAAATGAGACAACTTGATCTGTCTCTTTTTTGTCTCATAATAGAGACTAAATTGGGATGGAACTCCCGTTTTTTTGAGGCTCACATTCTTGTAGTGATAAAATACAATAGAATGTCAATATATAGTTCTACATTCTTGCAATACAATAGTCTTACTTTAGAAATGAAAACATTTTAATATACATAGTACAAGTATATAATTTTGAATAAATAAATGTTACTCTCTCTCTTCCATAATAAAATTCCAGTTTCGAATTATGATAGTTGACCAAAGTTATTTTTTATTCAATTTATAAAAATATTTATGTAGAATTTTTTATATGTTTTTTTTAAATATGTAAGATTTCATTCATTATTTTTTACCAATTCAATTTGTAAATAAACTATTTTTTCTGTTTGGAGTACATGTAAGGGTCATGCTTGAAGTACACCAGAATGAGATACCTTATTTGTACACTAAACCAAAATAGACATACATAGACACTTATGTCTGCATTGAGACACATACATTGAATGTCAGTATATTTGTGTCAGTGTGTTTTTTTGTTTGGTGTATAAATGAGTAATCCATTATGATCTATATCTCTACCATTATTATTAATTTAAGCCAACCTCATTTAACAAAAACATACTGCACGTTACTCCGTATTAATTATTTTTCATGAGGTGTAATTGTAAATGTACTTTGCATTTTTTATTACAAAATATACATACATTGAGCTGCAAACACTTAATAAGTTTATATATCAAAATATAACATTTTAGTAATATTTATGTTAACACAATAATAACAATTGAAATATATTTTGGAATATAATTTTTCTATATAAATTACTTTGTATGAAATTACTTTATTTTTTATTATTTTATTGACTTGAAAACATAATAATATACTACGTAACAATTATATCGTCATTACATACTATTATTAATGGAAACACGAATAATATGAAAAAACATACTTAAAACAATTATTAAAGTCATTACAAAGAGTTGACAAAAGTATGACAAAGGTAGAGAAAGTTTGAAAAAACTTGAAAAATAATACTCGTAGAAAAAGTTTGAAAACACTAGCCAGAATTGAAAAAAATAGTACTGTAATAATTACTGCCTCCGTCCTAAAAAGATTTACACGTTTCAAAAAAATTGCGTCCCACAATTCCTTACCCATTTCTATTAAAAAACCATTTTTACTCCTTACTTTTTCAAATCCTACCTATCACATCATACTTTTTTTCCTAATAATCTACATATCACATTCTACTTTTACCCATCACATCAAGGGTATTTTTGGAATGTCAAGACAAAATTATTCCTCCCTTAATTTCAACTTTAGTCAACACAAACTTTATCCCTTCCGTATAACAAATTTCAAAAAAAAAAAGACTCCATACTCCAAAGCTAAAAAGCTAATCATTACCCGAAGGCAAAAGAGAGGCCAAAACGCTTAAAAGCTGACCGAGAAGCCGCAGTGAGGTTTCTGCATCGGAGATTTAATCTCGCCGGTGATTCGGAGCCGCTGCATCAGGTTTTCTATTCTCTGTTTAAGACTTGATTAGGAAGAAGAGTGAATGCCAATATTTGATTATTGTGTGATTTAATATTCTCTCTCGACGACTGCTAGGGTTCATGTGGTGTTCATGATTTCTTCCCTATTCTGATTAGATGTTCGTTTCCGATTCGTTGAATTTCTATTCCTGTTCATCAAAATTAGGTTTGTTCAAGTGATTAAATTTATTATAGAGACATCAATCGAAATAGTAATCCCTAAATCCCTATAGTACTCCGATCTGCATCCTCTAGAATGCTTGCGATCGGCTGGTTGGCCTTGTTAATTATTATTTTTTGTACATCCTCTGTTCTGATCTACCACTGTTGCTACATGAGCTTTCCGGAAGACTCCGTGGCTTCAACAAGATCAACAGAGAGTCAGAATTTGCTGCAATGGAGCACTAAGGACACGAAAGGACTGAGTACTCCGGCTGGAACTGTGGATATGGCTGATATAGTAACTAATATGTAAATGATCAGTGAAGGTGGATGTTAAAAAGGGCTGTTACAAAGTTGTTAAAGTGTTGTTAGCTCAAAATATGATGTAGCGGAAATAACGAGAAATATGCAGATTCTTTTCTCTTCAGTCTTGCTTTATCTCATCTGGATATCTCCTTTGGAGAAGATCAGAAAGACATTGTTGTATCAAAGAGATGACATTCTCCTATATGGCGGTTATGGCCTAATCCTTGTAGAACTCGAAAGGTATATCCTTCAAAGGCATGATCGTAAGATTGGAGGAGAGGTGCACATCCCAAAGCCATTTCTTGCAACAATTTTGCTATGGACTAAAGGGAGATGAATAGAGAATGAATGCATCTACCTTGTATACGAGGATGCAAAAAAATCGTGATCGGAAAGGGACAACACTCTGACAAACAACTCTATGGGTAGGATTTTAGGAAGGACATGTAAGGAAATAACAAGAAAAATGAGACTCTTTCACATTTAGAGCGGAGTTAATAGATTTGTTTCATCGGGGATGCTTGATTTGCATCGAGGCAAGACATGGACTTATACGGGGACGCGGTCGGAAGCGTGAAATGCCTATTTTTTCATAATTCATAAAGGATTTGAGTGTGCGGACGACCCCAAATTCCATCCGGGGACGTTTCAAGGGCAGTAAGCGGCTCTTATTTGTAGATTCCGTGCAACATAGACTAAACGCTTGCAACACATGCTAATCAAGAGGTACAACAAGATGGAGAGAGCAACAAGGGAACCAAGCAATCCAACAAGAGCAAACAATGCACTCAAACATCATATAAAGTATAGTGTATTTGTAAGATCTACTTTGGAGATTTTGCAGTAGATTATATCCTACTACCACCCTCTGAGAAGACTTATTTTGAGGCCCTAGAAGTAGGATTTACATAGGCCCCATTCAGATTTGGAGTTGGCGGTTTCTAGTTTCATGGGGAGGTGTTGGGACCACATGTAATTTTATTTGACCTCGTACAAGTTTTCTGTGTGCACCTCTTAAAAGGCATCATACTAATGTGTTGGGTTGAACCCTATTTGTTTTGGTTCGATTCTTTTCTTTTTTAATTGGGTTGAACCCTATTTCTTTTGGTTCAATTCTTTTCTTTTTTAGTGTGAGATGGTTTGTATTCCCAACAAACAATCCCTCAAACCAAGATCCCACAATTTGTGACCTCCCCTCATGTTTGTCATTTGATTTACTCACCATCTTGCTTTGTCGCACCATCCCCGCGGGATACACCGCCAGACCACCTGATCTCTTGATCTGACATCATTGTTGGGAAGACTTTTGACACAAGGTATCAACAGTAAATCTCCAATGCTTAGGTCATCATTTGATATGCCAAATCATCTTGCATTGCAATCATATTTTTTTAAGGCGATCACCTCTCTCGCCTATGATGCCCGAGGCGCTGAGGCAATCCTAAGTCATTTGGAAATGATTGGGGGAGGTGATTTTCGAAAGGCAATGCAGGGCGTGTGCTTTTCTCGCCTGAGATCTAGGCGTGAGGCGAACGCCTCTTCCGCCTAAGGACTTTGTCTTCAGTCCTATGCGGTTATCGTCTCCACGCTGTTATCGACTTCATTTAAACCGTTCTTGACTATTTTGATTATCGACTTCATCTACACTTCATATATGTATTTATGTATAAAGCATGGATGGATGGACGCCTTGGACGGATGGGTGCCCAATTTGACTGCCCACCTCTCGCCCTCCCCTCACCTCTTGCCTTTCATACTACAGATAGTAATTTTAAGAATGTCCTTTGAAAGAGGAGGTTGGCTCTTTCTCATGGGTGTCCGAAATATTATTGCAAGTTGTATGATATTCATTGTACTCTCTCTGTCTCAAATTAAAATAAAATTCTCATTTCCTTTTTTACAGAGTATTAAAAGAATTAAAATTGTTTGGCTGTGATTGATGCAGAAGAGGGAGAATCATTGTGGACCACCCATTTAATCATTCTTTAAAAGGAATGAAAATTTTATTTTGGGAACACAAATTATAAAAGAGCGTTGTATATTGTGAAATTTCCCGTTCAATATTGATGGTGTGACTATGATAATACATAAAATATAATATAGAGATTATGAATTGAGTTTGAGTGAAGAAAGTGTGAGATGTATGGAATAGTTATAGAGAAGAATGAAAAAAACTACTCCACCCCTGCCTCAACGGCTAGAATGTTGTTGATCCACAATGGCTAACACAACAGGTCTGCCAACGAGGAAAAAACTTATTAACCGTCTTTTTCGTAACACTGATTCTGAAAAGCTGCATCTTAATTGATTAACCAGTGCCTTTTCGTAACACTTGTTCCGAAAAGCTACAGCTTAACCAATTAAGCGGTGTCTACGGAAGAAGGCCATGCTATAATTGAAACCGGAGCGGGACTCCATGTTCATGTACCCAAAAGCTATGCCCCCCCGTTCCCTACCTGTACGGTTCTGATGCCATCCTAGAGCCGTTTCCACCCTTACCTGTAACAATGGAATTAGGTTCAACTCATGCATGATATGAGTATTAACAAAGAGAATATAAGAACGTGTTTATGACTACGAAGTTGTAAATGGTGTTTTAAATTATATGGAGTATAAAAATACGACATGTTTAGGAAACGCATTGAAAAAGGAAATAGAATATTAAAAGAGGATGTGGTAATTATTTATTATTTCGTAATTACTATGAGCTTCTTAGACTACTCCCTACAGAATATTACAATTACTCCGCACTTCACAAGGATTAAAACACATCATTGATCAAGAATGGCATATTTTCCCAAGATCCGGTGGGGAGTGCGCTATGCGTGCTGATTAAAATGAATTCATTAATTTTTACTTAAACTTTTTGTACATTATTCCTTGATTGTAGTTCCTTCTCCCTGGTATTATTTATGAACATGCCAAATTAGAGGCAACTCTATTCTATTTTATACTTCTTCTAACAGGAAGCCAGAGAAAAAAGGGATCCTAGAGCAATAAGCCAAAAAATGGCTGATTGGGGCTCGGTTATTGTTGCCACAGTGCTGTTTATTCTGTTGACGCCGGGGTTGTTGGTTCAGATGCCGGGCCGTGGCCGGATCATTGAGTTTGCCAATTTTCAAACCAGTTGGGTTTCCATCGTCGTCCATACCGTTATTTACTTTGCTCTCCTGTGCATTTTATTGATAGCCATTGGTATCCATGTGTATGTTGGCTGATCATCATCATCATCATCACTTGGCCTTCTTTTCAACTCAGCATCTTGTAATCTTATCTGTAATTCTGACTACCTTCATCTTCTATGTAACAGAACAAATGTGAATTGTCCATCTTTGTAAACAAGGTATGTGTGTGTGTGGGGGGGGGATCAATCTTTGTAATAACAGTACTCAGTATGACCTGTAATTTCGTTCACCATTGCCTACAAAGTAGTAAATCTCAATAATGTAATTCTAAAACTTTTAAAATAGGAAAAATTCACATCATTACTCCCAAAATTACACAATCTTACATAAATACTCCGAGATTTAATAAATGACATCCATGCTCCCAGAATTTTCGTATGTTTACATCAATACTCCAACATTGAAATATGTTTACATTGGTGCCCCAACATTTGGAGCATAGCTATAAACATAAATGAATTCTTAGAGCAGCGATGTAAACATATGAAAATTTTGAGAGTATTGACGTCATTAATTGAATCTCGGAGTATTTATATAAATTTGTGTAATTCTGGGAGTAATGGTGTGAAATTTTCCTTTAAAATATGCATATTTTAGGAAAATCATACCCATTAATCTTAGCATCTCATATATAGGTTCATAATCTCACTTCCCTTCTATCTCTGCCTCTGGCCTGATTAGAGGAGTCTTCAATTGTGAGTAGAGGTGGCAAATTGGCAATCGGATCAACCGGATCAGTTTCGGGTTGGATTTTTTCGGTTCGGATATCTTTCGGTTATATGTTATAATCGGTTCGGATCGGTTAAATTTCGGTTCGGATTTGATTTCGGTTCTATACATTTTTCGGTTCGGTTTGGATTCGAGTCGGTTCAGATACGGTTCGGTTATAAATCGGTTCGGATAAATTTCGGTTCGGATACAATTTGAGTCGGATATATTTCGGTTTCGGGTCTAGTTCGGTTTGGATATATTTCGGTTTCGGATCAAATATATTTTGGATATATATTATTTTCTAATTAAAATTTAACTATTTGTGTTTCTTTTTATGTTTTATCACATTTATCAATCTATCATCAATTCAATACCTCATATTATTTTATATATTTTTCTAGTTATATTATCTCTACCCTAAATAATCTTCCCTTTTTGA